TGAAGTCCTTATGAAGGGGGATTTCCCTTCCAAACAATAACCTCAACTCTCTCCCCCTCTCCTGCCTTCTTCAATACGCCAACAAGAGTCTTCAATAAAGATACGTAATGTTCATTTATCATTAAAATTAGGGGTTTGGGATATTGGCAGTTTGGAGGGATATGTTGTGTATCTTTATATGCTTCTAAACTGTTGTATTCTGAGCACCTCTGCAAAAACAGTGATTATGTGTGAGTGAGGTGAAAGTGTTGAATGATGATGAAAGTATTTTCTTTCTAGGGATTTTCTTTCTTTTTGGGTCACCCTGCCTCGATGGGAGATGGCTGACTTCTTAAAAAAAAAAAAAAATATTTCTCACTGTTTTCTGTATGTAAAACTATAGTTATCCTTTAAAAAAATTAATTTTTTTGTGAATATTTTTGAGTCTGGAACAGATTAATTGGATTTACATTATTTTTTATGGGAAATATTACTTCGGTTTTCGTATGTTTCAGATTAAGTATGAAATCCGGGGTTCCACTGTATATGATAAACGAGTAAATAAATTATTGTCACTGAAAAACTAACTAAATACCAGTACTGAAAAGGAAATACTAAATGAATACATGTTTATCCTATCAAAGTTTAATGACTAATGAATGTGCATTGCTACTGCACCATCGTAAAGCTGAAATATCATTAAGTCGAACCATCGTAAAACGAGGAGCACCTGTATTGAAGAGAGTGGGGGGATCTGTAACGAGTGGCGTTCCACAGGGATCAGTCTCAGGCCTGTTGTTGATAATATATATCAATGATCTTGATGAGGGAATTACCAGTGAAATGAGCAAATTCACCGATGACACAAAGATAGATAGGATAATTGTTTCAAACGTAGATATCAGGGAACCTCAGGAGGATTTAGACAAACTCAATACCTGGTCAGAAAAGTGGCAAATGCAGTTCAATGCAGATAAATGCAAGGTTCTGAAGCTCAGGAGTGTCCATAACCCTAGCACATACAAGTTAAATAATGTAGAACTTAGCCATACAGACTGCAAAAAGGACTTGGGGTTATGGTAAGAAGCAACCTTAAACCAAGACAGCAATGCCTAAGCGTACGTAATAAGGTAAACCAGATTACTGGGATTTATATCAAGAAGTGTAAGCAACAGAAGTTCAGCAGTTATATTACAGCTGTATACATCATTAGTAAGGCCTCACCTAGATTACGCAGCTCAGCTCTGCTCTCCATATTACAGAATAGATATAAATTCGTTAGAAAACATTCAGCGAAGAATGACTAAATTGATACATAGCATTAGAAATCTTCCATATGAAGAAAGATTGAAGTCCCTTAAATTACATTCACTTGTAAGATGAAGAATGAGGGGAGACATGATTGAAGTGTGTAAGTGGAAGATGGGTATTAACAAAGGGGATATAAATAAGGTCTTAAGGATGTCTCTCCAAGAGAGAACCCACAATTATGGATTCAAATTAGATAAGTTTAGATAATGAAAGGATATAGGAAAGTACTGGTTTGGTAATAGGGTAGTTGACGGGTGGAACGGTCTACCTAGTAGGGTTATTGAAGCTAAAACCTTGGGTAGTTTCAAATTTAGGTTGGATAAATACATGGGTGAGAGGTGTTAGATTTGAGTGGGACTTGCACATGAGTAAATAGAAATATCAAAACTTATTTCTTGGGTAGCATTGAAAATTGGGTTGTTCAAATATTTTGTTAGTAGGATGGATTGTGTAGGACCTGCCTAGTATGGGCCAATAGGCCTGCTGCAGTGTTCCTCCTTTATGTTCTTATGAGTCTTCAAGGATGAAATATACAGATCTTTCTCTCTCTATTTTTAACCTGTGATTTAACTTTCTGTCAAAGTACTTTCTCACTTTTCAAACAGTTTTTGGGAAGGAAAATAATTGGGACAATTACTGTACAATTAGAGTAATGAAATTTAAATAGTGAAATTATGATTTAATATGAAATACAAAAATATGAGGACCATGTCCACCTAGTGCCACAGAAAAAAAAAAGAATAACAAAGTCAGTTCAAAGATAATTCAAAGATACCACTGCAAAGGAAGAAGACTTTTGTGGTGTCTGTAATTGGTGTTGAAAAAGCTAAACAGGTATTAGATTTATTTTTATCAGATTATCTTAACAAATATCCAGTTTTCTCTACACATTAAAGCTTATCATCAATTAAAGAATAAAAAAACAATACCATGACTCCAACAATACACAAATTAACCTGAACATAGGAGAAAGAAACTTATGACAACATTTTGGTCCAACTTGGACCATTAACTAGTCACAACAAAAGAGGGAAGGCAAGGGAGCCTCTCCCTCATATACATACTAGCTTCTTTGCCTTCACTCTTCTGTTGAGACTTGTTAATGGTCCAAGACAGACCGAAACATCATCATAAGCTTCTTTCTCCTATGTGCAGTTTTTTGTGCATTTTCTTCAATTAATTTTTTTTTTCAACAAGTCGGCCGTCTCCCACCGAGGCAGCGTGACCCAAAAAGGAAATGCTTTCGTCATTCAACACTTTCACCTTACACATAATCACTGTCTTTGCAGAGGTGCCCAGATACAACAGTTTAGAAGCATATATGTATAAAGATATAAAATATACCTCTTCAAACTGCCAATATCCCAAACCCCTCCTTTAAAGTGCAGGCACTGTACTTCCCATTTCCAGTACTCAAGTCTGGCTATAAAAAAATAACTGGATTCCTTGAATCTTTCTTCTTTCTTTCAACACACCAGCCGTATCCCACCGAGGCGGGGTGGCCCAAAAGGAGAAACAAAAGCTTCTCCTTGTACATTTAGTAATATATAGAGGGAGAAGAGGTTACTAGCCCCTTGCTCCCAGCATTTTAGTCGCCTCTTACAACACGCATGGCTTATGGAGGAAGAATTTTGTTCCACTTCCCCATGGAGATAAGAGGAAACAAACAAGAACAAGAACTAGAAAGAAAATAGCAGAAAACCCAGAGGGGTGTGTGTATATATATATATATATGCTTGTACACGTATATGTAGCGTGACCTAAGTGTAAGTAGAAGTAGCAAGACGTACCTGTAATCTTGCATATTTATGAGACAGACAAAAGACACCAGCAATCCTACCATCATGTAAAACAATTACAGGCTTTCGTTTTACACTCACCTGGAAGGACGGTAGTACCTCCCTGGGCGGTTGCTGTCTACCAACCTACTACCTAGGGTTTCCTTGAATCTCTTCACTAAATATTACCCTGCTCACACTCCAACAGCTCATCAGGTCCCAAAAGCCATTCGTCTCCATTCACTCCTATCTAACATGCTCACACATGCTTGCTGGAAGTCCAAGCACCTCGCCCACAAAACCTCCTTTACCCCCCCTCCCTCCAACCTTTTCCAGGATGACCCCTACCCCGCCTTACTTCCCCTACAGATTTATACGCTCTCCAAGTCATTCTACTTTGATCCATTCTCTCTAAATGACCAAACCACATCAACAACCCCTCTTCAGCCCTCTGACTAATACTTTTAGTAACTCCATACCTCCTAATTTCTACACTCTGAATTCTCTGCATAATATTTACACCACACATTGCCCTTAGACAGGACATCTCCACTGCCTCCAGCCACCTCCTTGCTGCAGTAGTTGCAACCCAAGCTTCATACCCATATAAGTGTTGGTACCACTAAACTTGCATACATTCCCTTCTCTGCCTCCATGGATAACGTTTTTTGTCTCCACAGGTACCTCAACGCACCATTCGCCTTTTTTCCTTCATCAATTCTAACGTTAACCTCATCCTCCATAAACCCATTTGCTGACAAGTCAACTCCCAAATACTATCTGAAAACATTCATTTCTTCCATACTCCCTCTCTCCAATGTGATACCCAATTTTTCTTTATCTAAATCATTTGATACCTCGCAAGTAGTGACCTGTGAGGTCATCGGACCTAACTGTTTGTGACTTCTTTCTTTGGGAGTATGTGAAGAGCACAGTTTACGTACCACCACTACCTGCAACCCTGGAGGAGCTGAAAATTTCAATCACTGAAGCAGTTCACATGATAACTCCAGATATGCTACAGAGCGTCTGGACCGAACTGGGCTATTGCATCGATGTTTGCTGAGCAACCAGAGGGGCGTACATTGAGTGCCTTTAATGCTACCCTATACCACATGAAACTGAATGAAACCCTGCATCTGAAGCTACTAACTGTGAAAAATTATTACAATAAAGTTACATGTTATACCTGTTTGAAATCAGGGAATGCTTTTGTGGACACCCTGTACAACTGTTACGAGCACTGAGTAACCAAATGATTCTCGTGTTTCATAAATCATAACCTGGCTCAATCCTTCAGTCCTACATTCATGCATGTATATTTCTTTTGTATATCCCGTAAGTCTAAAAATAGGATATTCAAAAGACATGAACATGCATGAATGCAGGACTGGAGGACTGAGCCAGGTATGAAATGAGAGAATCATCTGGTTACTCAGTGCTTTTAATACTTCACTAATATTACACTTTTAAACTAATATCAATAATGATTTGCTGATGCTGCAACTAGTATATTTCATATTATACAAGAACTAATCACAAAATAATTATACAATCACTTATTTATAGTCTGAGCCACATTCATAATTCATTCCAAGTCATAGGTGCCAAGTCTAAACAAATTAAGATGAATGGAGAATCTATTTATACTGAAAAATGGTGTAATGGGTTCTTAAATCAGGTGCTTGGTCTGCCCAAACCCCATCATTACAATGTGGGTCAGCATCATGGGGCATGACTAGAGGGGTATAGTCATTCCCTATGATGCAGGGCATGACTGGAGGAATCCAGCCATGCCCATGATGGTCAGCACAACTGGAGGGGTTCACTAAATTTTGCATCTTTTACTAAGGTCCCACATAACAGTTGGCTAGCTAAACGTAATTTACAACCACGTGGTGCACACAAACTTTTTTTTACTAGTAACCTTACCATGTAAAAGTAAGCAAGTGAAGCCATTGTTGACCAGAACAGAGTGCCAGTCTTCACAGCCTTGATCCACATATAGTAGGTCAGCAGCATGCAGAAAATTGCAATACCTGAAAACAGCATTTTTTTTTTTAATAATAAATTGCCTTTTTCCCCACCAAGGCAGGGTGACCCAACAAAGAAGAAACACTTTCATCAACACTCACTCCATCACTGTCTTGCCAGAGATGTGCCAACACCAGAGTTCAAAAACTGCAACATATCTCCACCCCTCCTTGAGAGCACAGGTATTGTACTTCTCACTTCCACCTACTGAAAATACCCTCAATTATAACCAAAGCTACTACTTACAGGTACTTTATCTATCTCAAAATTTAAAGAATAAAAACACAGACAGACTGACAACATTTTATAGAATAAAGGCACCATACCATGACTGGAGCAATTCCCAAACAACCTGCACATAGGAGAAACTTATAATGATGTTTCAGTCTGACTTGGACCATTAACTAGTTCATGGTCCAAGTTGGACCAAAATATTACAAGTATGTTTATGAAAGACATGCAAACATTTAAAAAAATCTTTAACCACTTCACTGGTTGTGCTGTACTGATACAGCTTTGAGGTCACTGGCCATGCCGTAGTACTACAGCTGAGGTCACTAGCTGTGCCAAAGTACTATGGCTCTGAGGTCATTGGCTGTGCCATAGTACTACAGCTTTGAGGTAACTGGCCATACCATAGTACTATGCCATGAGCTCAGCTCACTCAAATAAGCTGAGTGGTAAATTTGGGTCTAGATATGAAAGAATGGGTCTATGCAGTGTGCACCATATAAAAAATCCTGCATCATGCAGTGAATAATGAGGAAAAAACTGCAATCGTGTTTTTGGTTTAATCCTTTCAGGGTCCAGACTCCCAATCTGAAACTTGTCCACAGGGTCCAAGAATTTAAATAAAAAAAAAAAAAGTATTTTTTTCTTATGAAATGTTAGAGAATCTTTTTCTGAAGCTAATAAAACAAAATGTACGAAATTTGATGGAAAATTGACAAAACTACGCTATCACAAATTTTGCAGTGTCAGCAATATTTAAGCATCAGCGATTTTACCCACTGAGTCCTATTGTGTCCTACTGTGCAATCTACATCTACAGGACCTTAAATTCCAATATTAACCTTGAACTAAAACGCTTTCTTGATAGTTGCGACAGGACCCACAGGCATAACACCAGACACAAACATCTCTATGACATTCCCCATGCCCGACTAAACCTTTACAAAAAATTCAATGTATGTCAAAGGCCCTAAAATCTGGAACACCCTACCTGAAAACTCTAGAACTGCAGACACATTCATCACCTTCAAAACATCTTATCTCCCTGATACACCCCGTCAACTAACTACATAAAAACCACCTGGCGCTTCACACTTACACTCACTCACTCACTCACTCACCCATTTGACTATAAGCACAGAAATACAAATCTTAATCTTAAAATAATGATTCTTAACTAGTCATAAGTTTGCCTGTGATACTCCAATATAGAAACTACGTACATATATATATGTATTGTGCCAAAACAAAAGCATACACATTGCTAAACTCACAAAATAGTATTTATTCACTTAGTATTTAGTCAACTTACTCCATAATTTGTAATAATATAGGGTTAAGAATTAATCTAAGTTTGCCCAAAATGCCTAGCCATGTTAGGTGTCCTAGTGGCCCCCTCTGTAATTAGTATTTTATAACATGTAAACCACACAATAACCAAGATCTGCAAACCTTGCATTGTAATCCTTATAGAGAATAAACTTGATTGATTGATTGATTGATTTTAGGCAAATTACATTGTTCCAGTCAACCAAATTTTCAGTTATTTTGCTAGTATGCCTCTATTTCATCAATTGAGAACAAAAACCTTTCCAATCAACTTCTTCAACTACCCAATAAAGTGATCAGAAACTAATAATTTGTTCAATTTCACACAAATTCCAAAATATCCAATTTCAAAATAGGGTCCAGAAAAAAAAATATGGGTATTCCTGGCACTAAAGTAACATTTCCTTTGTTCATTAGTTATGTTTCCAGGCTTTACACAGAATTCCATTTTGATTTATTATTCACACCAAAAAATAGAAGATTTACTGTTATGCAATATTGTATTAATTGTATAAATAATATCATCTAATTTGTGAACACACATTAGACCCACAAGTTGACATGTATTGGATATGTGATTTATTTACTCTCAAACATCAGCAAAAATCAAATCTTTCCACTACTTTGAGCTCAATTTCAAGCTATTTTCAGCCCTAAAACCAATAAAAAATCATATCTATTTCTGTAATATTTACCATTGTATCAAATGATATCAAGAAATCGTGATGACACCCAAAAAAACATACAAAAATACACTGCAAAGTCGCTGTTTTAAACCAAAAAAACATGGTTGCAGTTTCTTCTCATGCACTGCATGCTGCATAATTATTTTTTGTGAGGGAAAAGTTCAATAGATAGGAGTAGCGAGGGAGTATATAGTAACAATAGTTTCATTGCCGGCTACTTGTTAAGGTAGGGTAAGTCAAGCTCCCGCTATTCCCGCCTTTTTTCCCCCACCCCGGAAGTGATAGTTTGACTGCCGGCTGCTTGTTAAGGTAGGGTCAGTCTAGCTCCCGCTATCCCTTCCCCTCCTTCTTCCCCCCCCCCCCCGAAAGGTGACGTGTGGGGCTCCAGTCCAAACAGTAATCACTAGACTCAGCTCCCAGCACTACTGTAAGTACATGCCTGCCTTGTATTCTAGTGGATTTATTGGTTAAAAGCTTCACTTTTGACCAATAATAAACTTAGTCCTTTCAGTCTTGCTCTAAGTTGACTGTTGTAATGATCACTACATCTTTTAGGTATTGTACTTATCATGGAGAGTGATTTCTTAAGCAATGGGTAACCTGTCTATCTTTCCAGCTTGGATGACAGAGAGGGTCACCTGCCAATCAACGAGTAGAACTGATGGAGATGGACTATCGTCCTGAGACTTCCCCTTTTTTGGATTTAATTACCTGTGCACCTGTATGAAATTGCAGGACGTAACCCCTCATCATTGCAGCGGTAAAGAACCTGCTTTCCTGTCATCGGGATAGAATACTCAAGGCTATACTGTGAAGAACTAGCCAGTGGGTTGTAACCAACACCTGCGACCCCCCCCCCCCCCATCATCGGCAACAGCTACGATTTCAACAAGCAGTGTCACCAACACCAGACACCCAAGTTTTATATTAGCCTTGAATTCAGTTATCATTTATATTTTTCATTTTTCATTTTCTTTAATGTAGGATTAATATTTCATTTTTTTTTTTTTTTTTTTTTTTCACACTGGCCGATTCCCACCAAGGCAGGGTGGCCCGAAAAAGAAAAACTTTCACCATCATTCACTCCATCACTGTCTTGCCAGAAGGGTGCTTTACACTACAGTTTTTAAACTGCAACATTAACACCCCTCCTTCAGAGTGCAGGCACTGTACTTCCCATCTCCAGGACTCAAGTCCGGCCTGCCGGTTTCCCTGAATCCCTTCATAAATGTTACTTTGCTCACACTCCAACAGCACGTCAAGTATTAAAAACCATTTGTCTCCATTCACTCCTATCAAACACGCTCATGCATGCCTCCTGGAAGTCCAAGCCCCTCGCACACAAAACCTCCTTTACCCCCTCCCTCCAACCTTTCCTAGGCCGACCCCTACCCCGCCTTCCTTCCACTACAGACTGATACACTCTTGAAGTCATTCTGTTTCGCTCCATTCTCTCTACATGTCCGAACCACCTCAACAACCCTTCCTCAGCCCTCTGGACAACAGTTTTGGTAATCCCGCACCTCCTCCTAACTTCCAAACTACGAATTCTCTGCATTATATTCACACCACACATTGCCCTCAGACATGACATCTCCACTGCCTCCAGCCTTCTCCTCGCTGCAACATTCATCACCCACGCTTCACACCCATATAAGAGCGTTGGTAAAACTATACTCTCATACATTCCCCTCTTTGCCTCCAAGGACAAAGTTCTTTGTCTCCACAGACTCCTAAGTGCACCACTCACTCTTTTTCCCTCATCAATTCTATGATTCACCTCATCTTTCATAGACCCATCCGCTGACACATCCACTCCCAAATATCTGAATACGTTCACCTCCTCCATACTCTCTCCCTCCAATCTGATATTCAATCTTTCATCACCTAATCTTTTTGTTATCCTCATAACCTTACTCTTTCTTGTATTCACCTTTAATTTTCTTCTTTTGCACACCCTACCAAATTCATCCACCAATCTCTGCAACTTCTCTTCAGAATCTCCCAAGAGCACAGTGTCATCAGCAAAGAGCAGCTGTGACAACTCCCACTTTGTGTGTGATTCTTTATCTTTTAACTCCACACCTCTTGCCAAGACCCTCGCATTTACTTCTCTTACAACCCCATCTATAAATATATTAAACAACCACGGTGACATCACACATCCTTGTCTAAGGCCTACTTTTACTGGGAAAAAATTTCCCTCTTTCCTACATACTCTAACTTGAGCCTCACTATCCTCATAAAAACTCTTCACTGCTTTCAGTAACCTACCTCCTACACCATACACTTGCAACATCTGCCACATTGCCCCCCTATCCACCCTGTCATACGCCTTTTCCAAATCCATAAATGCCACAAAGACCTCTTTAGCCTTATCTAAATACTGTTCACTTATATGTTTCACTGTAAACACCTGGTCCACACACCCCCTACCTTTCCTAAAGCCTCCTTGTTTATCTGCTATCCTATTCTCCGTCTTACTCTTAATTCTTTCAATTATAACTCTACCATACACTTTACCAGGTACACTCAACAGACTTATCCCCCTATAATTTTTGCACTCTCTTTTATCCCCTTTGCCTTTATACAAAGGAACTATGCATGCTCTCTGCCAATCCCTAGGTACCTTACCCTCTTCCATACATTTATTAAATAATTGCACCAACCACTCCAAAACTATATCCCCACCTGCTTTTAACATTTCTATCTTTATCCCATCAATCCCGGCTGCCTTACCCCCTTTCATTTTGCCTACT